GTGGGGGTTTTTTTTTTTTTTTTTTAATGAAAGAATATACATGGGACTGAGGAATTAGTACCTTTTAACCAAAGTTAGTTTTCCCACTTTTTAGTTTTGTTCTAGGAGTGTGAAATTAGGAAAACAATTATTATTATTATAGAAGTAAAAGAACAGTCCTGGAGAACATGAGATCAGGAGAGGGGGGGAGTAAAATACAATATTTAAACAGATGTAATTTGAAGTTGGTATTTTTTTATTTTGGGGCAAAAACCAAATTGATAAAGAATTCTATTTACGTATAACAGCATTTCTGTATGTTACACATATTTAGTGTAGTATATACTAGTATGTTATTGTATCTTAAAGCATTCTGAACTAAACTTTGCATTATTTCTCTCTCTAGGGTATACCCATGGCTTAGAGGTCTAGGCTATACATCTTTAACTGTATTTTTAATGGGATTTTTTCTCTGGAATGTGGACAACATTTTCTGTGATAAATTGAGGTGAGCTTTTTCACTTGTCTGGATAGCTCTTAATAGCCTTTAAGTATAAAGACTGGATTGTTTCTGAGGTGCATATTCAAGTCCATCTCAATGTCTGTATGGTTTGTTGCCTAAAAAACATCCATGAGATTTTATGCAGATTGCTCATGACTAGAGTCAGCACTCAACCTGGGGCTTTTAAACTCTCTTTAACCTCAAATTAAATTGTGAGGAAATAATGTCACTGAAGTAAATTTAAGGATCTGTGACTACTACTCACACTTGATTTCATCTGAATGTGTTTTTATCCTGCTTGTTTGGGTTTTTTTGGGTTTCTGCAATTGCCATTTCCCAAGGAAATATCAAAGACAGTAATTATGCATGTTAAAGAAGACATGCAGAACTACTGCTACCACTGTTCAAGAAATATCTATTACAATAACCATGTTATCAATAAACAGCAGTTAGCTGCAATTCCCGTGTTGCTCAGCAAGCTGGAGGAGGTGGAAAGGTTAATTCCAGCACCCAGAAAGATACATTTTTGACAATCTGAAACACAGTTATGCCACAGAGTCTGTGTTGTACAGATTGTCCTAGTAGGCTGGTTTGTCAGAGCCAAATAACAGTGTGCTGTAAAGAAGTCTAAAGTTTTCCATCCCTTCTGGCTCTGCAGTCCCTGTCCTAGGTTGAGCCAACTGAAAGTTATTTCCAACAGAGTATTCTTGAAACTTTTTTTAAATTAATATAATACATGATCTTCATCCCAAGGAGTGCTTGATACAAATGAGATAGATGGGATAGAGTAGTTATTGGCAGCACAAATGGCTGGGTTTACAGTTACTTTGCAAATGTTGGCATCAGGGTTGATTTTTACAGCTGCCTCACATCACTGGTGAGATCAAAACCCCCAGTTCACCAAACCTGCTGAGCTGCTGTGTGTCCATGGGGCTTTTGAACTGGTTCCTAGACCCAAAAATGACACCAGCTGCTGAGGCATTTTTTTCCATCCTCATTTCATAAGGACAAAAAAAGGTTAGTGTCTTTCCTGTAATACTTGTTTGGTCATGGTGCTGGAAAAAAAAAAAAAAAGTGCTTGTTTACTAGCTTTAATCAGACATCTGCAGAGTCTTGGATTTCTCCAGGAGGTATTATAATTTGAACCTTTGGAGAAAATACATTTCAATTCCTTGAAATTTTTATTCTCTGAAGGTCTAACTTGTGAATCATCCACCTACCTTCTCTGTTTAAAGTTCAAAACTGAGTTTTGATTCAGGGGGTTTTGTTCCATTTTTCATTAAATCTGCAGCTTATTTAAAAAAAAAAAAAAAAAATCTGTAGCACTCAGTTTCTCTGGTTTTAACCACACAATTGAATTTCAGCTTTCAAATTTCCTACCATCCAAAGGCTTGGAAGTTGTGCTGGGCTGCCAGTCTGCATGTTCCACTGTGTCATTGCTGGGCTGACTCAATTGAAGCTCTGTGCTAATATTTGTGACTCAGGAGCTTTGGACCAAGCACTGTAATATCAAGCAGTAAGGACATATTCCAGGAGCTGTAGATTTTCCTTCCTTAACACATGCAATCATTGTTTTCCATTTTTTGTTTTGACAAGTGAAATTAAAGTGCAAATGAAAAGAACAGCAGATGCAAACAGTTCCTCCACCATCCACCAAGATAGGCATTATCTGCAGAAGCCTAGTGAACAGGAGAAATGTAGTAGGAGCAATGTAGTTTCTTCTCTTTATTTCTTTATCTCCATCCCTTAGCCCCTTCCCAAGTTGCTCACACCCCATAACTACAAATTACAAAGCGTGTTGGTGGAGTATTTCAGATCCTCTGCTTTAATTACGTCCTCACTAAACACCCATTTTGTCCCTGTTTTAGAGTCTAACAGAGAGGCAAGTTGAACTTCCATGGACCTGCAGAATGGGTGGTGTGATTGCCAGATTTAAAGTGATGATGTCTGATAAATTTCATTTTTTCTCTTGGACTTAAACTCAGCATTTCATCCTATGGACAGTAGTTCACAGGGTTTTGGGGAGGAGAGTAGTAGAATTCATTTGGGACTGTGGGATGCCATAAATATATTCCCTGAAATTTGAGTCCAGAAGTAATAGATCACTCATCATATGAAGAAATGTCTGTTTTCTTAAATGTGTAAGAAAGTCAGTTTGTAAGAAAGTCAGTATCTCTCTGTACTGGCAGTGTGAAGTATAACTGCTGCTCCTCACCTGCTGTGAAAGGTGAGGAGGTGTCACCTGACTCCTGGAACCCTCACCTGTCAAGCACATGCCTGAGATATGGAAACAATAACATATGATCTGACAATCCAACTTGGTGCTTTAAGATTGCTTAGCTGGGCAAAGATATTCCATTGCATGGTATTTCTTTCTTTCAGAGCATTACGAGAGAAGATGCCTCCCGTGGTGGGAGCTGTGACACAATTTCATGCATGGTGGCATATTCTCACAGGCCTTGGTTCTTACCTTCATATCCTGCTAAGGTAAGAAATGTTTCCTAAACTGGATGTTCACAGATCTCTTACGAGTTTTCTGAGGTTCAGATGTACTTCAGAATGTTGTACCATCCTGAAGAGCAGGAAAATGATTTATTAAACTGCTGCGCAGTTTTCTTTTCTCTTTGTAACTATTCTAAAAACTCTAATCTATATTCTTCAAAATGTAGTCACTAGTCTTTAAATAGCCGTAGTTCTTCAAAATAATTAATTCAGAAATGTGGACCCAGTGGCAGTTAAACCAAAACTATTTGACAGTATATTAATTTCAGAATGTAAGCCATTAATACCTGTCTGTTCTTGAGAAGCAGTCCTGAAGTACTTAAACATGTTTAAATTTAGGAACTTAACAAATCCTTTGATAGGCACTGTCACTCCTGAAAACCAGCAGGCATCCTGCTGTAGTGCAGAAGGGTGATGGCTGAAGTAATTGTAGTGGATCTGTTCCCAAAAGGGCAGGGTATTAGTTTGAGGAAGAGACTTAAACAAGAATGTAATTTAGCAAGTCTGGAGCCAGCAGATTTTTGTCTCATTTTTGCTCTGTACCACCATCTAGTGGAACCAGAGGCAAGAACAGAATATAACCTGAAATCTGTGAAGGATTTCTGCAGTTTGTTTGTCATCTAATGAAATAATATTTTATCACTCAGCCCATAACAAAGAGAATGCCTTTTTTACATATACATCCTATGTAGTCGAGAAAACTTGGTTACATACATAATTTTTCTACATCTAACATGGTATTCACCTTTTTTTTCAGATGTTAAAATACCTAATAAAAGGAACATGCAAGGAAAATAAGTACATTTCCATTAGGTGATCTAATAGCTTATAGTTACATTTATGTATATATATATATGCAAACATATTTACCTACACATATGTAAATGTATATATACATACATACATTATTGAATGTTTCAAGATATATGGAAAACAGTTGCTTCATTTTGGTTTACAGGTTATCTTCCCCCCTAAAGAGCTTGAGGCAATATTTTAAAGAAAATTCCTTGCAGGAATCAAGCATAGGCAAGGTTTTTTCCACATACCACAAAGTGGCGTTACCACTTAAAAAAAACTGAGGTCATTCACAGGAAAAGATCTACTGAGAGGAGAAAGTGTCTAAGAACAAAAATAACATATAGAATCAAGCTATGCTGTTTTTTCCCCCCATTTAACATCTGCTATATTTTGTGGTACCCTGATTTAATTTCATCCTTCTAAAATTACAGGCTCCAGCCCCTATTTAATTTATTAATTTTTTTTCCCCTCTCAGGGTTTCCTTTTTTCTCCTCACATAGGTGATAGGGTAAATTATTTTGCTGATCAGTCTACTACAGGGGGACTTACTGTAAGTTAACATCTCCTATATTGACTAATTTAGGCAGAATGGGTAGCTCTGTAATCACAGAAGCAATTATTTTCTAGCTGGAAGATAAAACTGGGATCAGGACATCCTTATTTTATATGCTGTCTTATACTTGAAATTTTAAGCATGCTTTTTTCCTTCTCCTCAGTTTATATACAAGGACACTTTTCCTGAAACACAGGCCAAAGGTGAAGGTAAGCAAGCAGTATTTTGTGTTTATTAATGCACATTTGGTATGTCTTCTGCTTTCAACTTTTGGTGGGGCTCAATAATTATGCCTGTTAGGATACTGTCTGACTTCTGCTTACATCCCAAGAAATTCAGTTGAAATTTTTGTAGAATCACAGAATGGTTTGGGTTGGAAGAGACCTCAATGATTATCTAGTTTCAGCCCCCCCCGCCACATGAAGGGACACCTTCCACTAGACCAGGTTACTCAGAGCCCCCAGGTTATTCCAACCTGGCCTTGAACATTTCCAGGGGTGGAACATCTTCTCTGGGCAACCTGTGCCAGTGCCTCACCACCATCAAAATAATGAATTTCTTCTTAATATCCAATCTGAACTTACTCTCTTTTGTTTTAAAGCCATTCCTCTTTCATCCTATCATTAGATTATGTTTAATAGTGTTTGGTTTCTGTTCCAAGAAATATAATATTCCAAGGAATCCTTCCCCTATTCCTATTTTTCTTTTGACAGTTTGTTTTTGGAATATGGCCTGTTCTTCTTGTGGAGCCACCCAAGAACCTTTGACTGAGCCCCGGCAGCCACACACGATCACCTGGCCTGGCTGAATAAAGCATTTCAACAGTTACTCTGGCTGAAGTGTCAAAATTATGGATCAATCCAAGAACCATTGCTATTAAAGGACTTCTCTGTGCTACGAGTCCAGGAACAGAGCAAAGAGCTGGCACACTAGGGAAATAGCACTTAGTACAGCTTTATTCTAAGTTGTTAAAACAAAGATTAAGACACAAAGGTTTTATGTATATATTGTATAGCGGATGATATTGATGTAATATTTCGTGCTGGTCACAGAAAACTAACCATTTTTGAAGTGGATTGCATATGTTTTTTCATTCAGGTTTTGCTCTTTCTGTGGTATAAACTAATACTAGTAACTGAATGACAAAACCAGGCCATTGATGGCCAGGCTAAGCATTTGTGTGGCCTATAGTGAACTGAATGCTTAACCCAAACTACTATAACCTTGCACTTTTATACAATTAATGAAGTATGTAATGGTTGATTTAGGCCTTTATTCTACCTTGCTTTTCCAGAGCCTCCTTTGCAATTTATATTTTAAGCAAAATGGTTGGGATACCTGTGCCATTTGGTTAATTTTGTACCAAGCTTCCGTTTTCTCTTTAGTCCAACTGAGAGATTCATCATGGAGGATGTTCCAAAGTGTGACCAGCAGAAGACACTGAAATGGTGAAGCCTTATAGGTGTTCCTTCTTGTGTCTGGAAACCCAATTCCTAATTTGTTTCACCAGTGTTTCATCACAAAACTGTACAGTGGCTGTAGAAACATAAGAAACACTCTTTTTCATTTTTTTGTAATTGTTATTTACATACCTTCCTTTTCTATCCCTTTCTTTAACTTCCCATTTCCCATTCACACAATGGAATCAAATGATTGACAGACACCTTAGATGTGCTCCAGTTCAGCTTTGAATTAATCTTTCTCTTATTTTACAAGTCTTAAATATGGGTCTGACTTTCAGAAGCATCTTCTTATTCAGAAACTTTGAAGTAGGAGTAAAGAACAAGACTGAGGTTGAGGATATCCCCAAATACAGTGGCAGTGCTTTGCTTGCTTTTAATCTATCACGTGCTTGGTCTGTGAGAAAGCTGACCACCTTTTAAAACCAAATTTAGGGGATTAATGGGGGAGACAAACCCTGTTTTCTGCAATTTTTATAATACCCAGCTGATGAAAGTTAATAAGTAAATGTAAAGAAAACATTAAACTAACACAGTTTCTCAAAATATACCTCATATGAAGGCTGTGGTTTTGACGCTCTTGATTTTGGGGCAACTAACAGAGGCTATCTCTGTGCCTACTTGCTGCCATTCTATGCAATTTTTGTCTGCTTTTGATGCTCTGAGGGATTTATCCTTCTTGCCATGAAGAAAAAAAGGGCAACGTTCAGACTGATCCAAAATCCCATTCTGTGTTGATTTACAAAGTGCTCACAGCAGCAAAGCATGGTAATGTAGCTGTAAACCTGTCTCCCAGGTTTCAGAATCCTGACTATTGAACAATCAGTGCTGACTAAAATAGTCTCCTCCCTTTAAGGTATTTTTCTCTGTTGCAGTTTCTCTGCATCTTTCACATCCATCAGTAACTCTCCTACTGATGTGAACCTCCAAATAAAAATGTGGCTTCTGTTATGTGGTGAACCTGGACCTTGAGATCAAATAATCCAAACTCTGGGCTGGAAAAAGATATTTAACCTTGAAGTGAGTTCAATGAGTTTTAAGCATGTGCTGATAGCAATGCATTTCAACCTGTACACCCCTATAAAGACACCTGAAGGGTAATTTTAGAACAGCTTTGGTATCAGTAGGCTCCAGTTCCATAGACAAGGTCAGCATCCGTATTGGGAAATTTGAGTGTTCTTCAGACTGAAAGAAATTAGTAGAACTAACAGAGAGCTAGTAAAAAGCTGTTATGGATCAGGTCTCTTTAATTATCCAGAAGGCATATTTTTTGTAAAGAGATTTGAGAACTGTTTCAAAAATGTAGCTTGAAAATAAGTGCCTGCCTGTTCACCTCCAGGCTTTCTCAAGCATTTTTCTGCACACTGTATCCCATTTTCTTATTTAGTATGTTTTCATGTGTTCATAAGTTTTAAGAGAAGCAGTGCAGCAGCAAGACATATCAACAGTCACTTGTTACATCTGCTAGGTATGATATTATTTTTGTGGCTATGAAAAAAACTTTTATTTTAGTGACCTTAGTTTTGTTACTGAAGGATCTGGGGGCTCTGTTTATTTTAGCAATTGCAAGAACCAGAGTGTCTTGAAAAGCCACTTTCTTATTGATCAGGCATCTCTACAATGGTAGATTTTAAAGAAATTGGTTGATTCATCTACACATTTGGAACTAGGAAGTATATGATGGGGGGATTTCAGAACTTGTTGAATTGTCAGGATTTAAAAAAAAAAAGTTGGAAAAGCTTATATATTAATTTTATACTGCTGTTTTTCATTCATGTATTGTTTGTCATTGATGTTTTTTTCTTTTAAAAAAAAAATGCAAATTGGCTTCTTCCTACATTCCAAATGACCAAAAACATGCACACCTCTACCACCTTGCCAGCAGCCTTTCTTTCATCAGGTTATATTAGACCCTGAAGAATGTAATTTACCTGTGTATCCTTCTCCGCATAAATAATCTAAAATCATGGGTGCTTTGGTTTGACTGCCTTACTGATCTTGTGAGTGATATTGAAAATGACAAGCCAGTTTTAACTGGGTATCACTGAAATTCAGACTGCCTTTTCTAGTGCCTGGAAAGAAGTACATTCCTGTAATGTGTTAAATGTCTATTAATTGCTTTTAATTTATATCACTTGTGTGACAATGTTGCTTAGAGCAGTATATCCCACATTTTTCTTGCCCTACATCTTAGCAAGTCATGTGGGATCCTATTTTTTGAGTAGGATTCAGACAGCAGCTACTTTAAAGAGAATTATGGAAGTAGCAGGTGTCGTTTGATATGAATTCTACAGGATATGTTTGACAGACTTGATAGCAATGAACTCTTCTATTCCTTATATCTATGAAGAACCAGGAAATCTGCCACCATACAACCATCAATTTGACACAGGTGAGCAGCAAGAGTAGCTCTGCAGTCTGTGAGCTGAAAAATTCTTTCTTGGAAATAAGAGGAAAAACTTCAAAATTATTCTCACAGTACAGATCAAACTCATATCTTATTCTGGGAATTTAGATTTTTTTGGATACAGCTCAAGGCATGCATTCTCCAGAACTGAAAATGTGAGGAGGAATCTCATCCATGTTTTGAAGGCCATGTTGTTGGCTAGCAGTATTAGTTATCTTCAGACTTCATCATAATGGTTTTTCTGTTAACACAGGGCTGATGTGCTGCCTGTGAGTGTTTAAAAACTCCCCCCTAGTCAGAGTTGGAATATGCAGTGTTACCATTTGCCAGTCTACCTCTGTCATGTATTGTACCATACCTGTGCCCTTAATTACATTTGCCTGAATGTGTGCACATCAGAGCAGCTTTAGACCCTGCAGCCCCTGGGATTGGCAAGTGTTGTATTGATTCGTGGCTGACTCTGTTCTCTCCTTGTAAACATCCTCACTTGTTTGGTGTCTGTCACTTACAGCTTGTGCTCAGTCTGCCGCTCATCTTTGTGTAAGTCTGGCTGCTTTAGAGAGATTCGAGTAGGAGGACTTCAGACAGGTGGAGTGAAATCTTTTGGGAGCGATGTAGTGGAAAATACTGCTCTGTGATTAGTTTTCATTCTCTTTTAATCCTGTCCTGTGCTGTCTTGCTTGGATAAAGCTGAATTGTATGATTTGAAATACAGCCGATTCTTTTGGCCATCATGGATTTGCTTCTAACACCTCATTTCAAGCAGCTGAATGTCTTTTTCAGCAAGCACCTCCACATGAATCTCAGCAACAGAAAACCCTCCCAATACCATCAGTGTTTCTCACAGTCACTATCACCTTGTTTAATCTGCATTCAAGAATGTCAGTAATACCATTTTTAAAACCTGTTTCTCTCTGTGGATATATTACACATTTTAATAGCAGGTAGTGAAACAATTCAGTACAGCACTGCTCAGTCAGAGGAGCTGTAATGGAGCAGCACTGCTGTTTTCTTTAGTAGACATCAGAATTTGGGAACACATCCATTTTGGGGGAATGTGTGCCCCCTAATTTAGATTAATGTATTCAGGTAAAAATTTCAGTTTACTTTAAACCCCATCTGCACTTTATAAGTAGGCAGTCAGAGGCTTTAACTGCAAAGTGCTCTTTGGTTGTGAGACTTTATCATGAAGAGGGATAAATGATGGAGTCTTTATTACACATGAGCAGAGCAAAGCCAGAAGGAGATTAAGAAATCTTACGCAAAAAGAGAATAACAAAAGATTAAGCACAGAATCCTGTAGTATTACGTCAACCACCCTCCTGGTATCTGCACTTTAGATACTTGAATGTTTTGCTATTTATACATTTAACTTTCCATGTTGACTCTGCTCTCTTCATCACAGAAGTTATGTAGTTTCTGTTACATTCAGTTCATTGTAGATGACTTAGGGGCTGTTTTATGAGGATGGAGCATGACACAGATTGTTTTGTACATGAATGAATATATTTCTGACCTTTCTGGAATGTCCTCTGCCAACTTTGAGAGTCTGTAACCTAAAGACAAAGAACATCCTGTGTAACTATTAAAATTGGTTTTGGGTTTCTTTGTTCAGTTTCTCACGCACAACTGCCTGCAGCTGCCAAGTGCCTGATCTCGTTGTTGCAAGGCTTTTCTGAGAGCTGGGGCTGTGGTTTCTTCTGAGTTTTGTAAGACAAAGTCTTTGGTAGGTGAATGGCAACTTTTGTTTAAAATTCTCCTTCTGCAGAAATCATAGCGCCATTTTTAGTGGCTTTCCAGTTAGTTATCCAATACATGTCTGCCTCTGACTGAAACTTGAGCCTGACTACCTACCTTCCTGATGCTGTTGCATCTTTCCAGGCTTTGAAAGCTGGGTGAGGGATTTAGCAGTACAGGAGGTGTTAATTTTGTGTTGTGTAGTTCAGTGGCGGGCAGTGTGAGGGCGCAGCAGTCAAGCAAGCACTTTATGTGGAGCGCCCTTATTGGAGCTCCCAGCCAGATACTTTAAACAGGGCTGGGGACAGAGGGATTTGTATGTACAGTTTGAGAAACAGGTTTGATGTCTGAACCTCTTACTTTACTGCAGAACTCTCACATTTTACTTGTTGAAATTGTTTTGGTTAGACTAAGTATGTAATTGTAGATTTAAGAACCCAGTTCAGAGTTCATGTGAGACCCTAAACCAGTGCCTACAATTATTTTTTTTTACATATATGACACAAATTTAATCTGCCTGATGTTTAAGAGCAGATTGTTAAGATTTTTAAAAATGCAAAGATAAAGGGTCTTTTGCTTATTTGTCCACAGGAATAGCTATAAGCACAATTTTAGATTCCTCCTTCTGTCCCCTAAGCTCTAGAACATATATATGTTTCTCCAAAGACAGTGCTGAATAAAATGGCTCATAACATGTTATGTACCAAAATGTTTTCTACATTAAAGCTGTGGAAGAACTTTGTTTGTATATACTGTTGCTCCGTGGATTTTGGAAGAGAGGGTTTCAGGCAGCATAAGCAGTTGTTACTCCTTCGACTGAAGAGAAACAAATTTTTCTCTTGGTTTTCCAAATTGATGTTGACTGTTTCATGTTTATTGTTGATCTCAGCTTAATTCACCAATGATGTTACAGTCTGATCAAACACCATCTGTCCACCTGGAGTGGACATGAAATCTCCTGTTCATGAGGTGACCAAACTTTCTAACATGGACACTATGAGTTCCAATATGTGGGTTTCTCTTCCTGAAGTTCAACGCATTGTTGCAGATAGGTAACACTGTGACAGATGAGTAGCAGTTGACTTGTAGAACACAGCTACATTAAGAAAAATGTTTATTGACAATTTTGATACACTGAGCTGACTACTCCTACCAAACCAGCTGGTAACTAACATTAGGCTTATATGTATCAGCATATCTTGTTTTCCAAAGCATAGTAGCTTTGAAATATTTAATATGTTTCATTTGTTATTCATGCTGCAGTCAAGCACTAATTTGTGTCTTTATAGTACAAACTATTAAAGAATTTTGTTTTAAATACAACCTTTTCCAGGTGGTTCTTGGCTTATTATGTGTTGCACAAGGCTGGCTGGTTCATCTGGATGCTGTTCAGTAGATGAACATCTTGGGTTGTACATCTTGGCTGGTGGTGTGCAAGTGGAACAGCAGGATTTGTGTGTCCTGCATGGACGGGGAAGCTGCCTGCAGCCAAGAGCCTCCGTGACAGCTCCCCAGTCATTCTGCCTTGTGCTGTGGGGCCCTCTGAGCACTGGGCCTTGCTTGGAGGTGTAGTGTTGACTGTAAATACTGCAGGATCATCTTCCATCCAAAGGCCTTTCCCAGCACACACCAGTTAGGAGGGACTGCAGGTGGGTGACGTGAGTGGGAGAGGAAAAGGCAGGAGTTAGGTGAATGTGCAGGGAGCCCCAGAACATGCAATTTGCACACCCTTTGCTTCAGCCTTTTCCTGTTCCTTTCAGTGAGAGACGAGGATAAGTCACTGCAGGGCAGAACCTTTCCAGGCACGAATTGTGGACAAACAGGGACTAATCCAGCAAGCCTCATCACACACCAGCAGACAGTCTGGTAATGACCATAAGGTGTTTTCCTCACTTCCAGCTGCTCTTCCAGGTGCTCAGAGATCCCATTTTCTCCTGCTTATCTCTCTCAAAGCTGTGTCTCTGCAGGGAGAACCTGGAGTCAACTACTCAGGGGCCAAGCCACAGGGCAGCAAACCTCAGAGCCAGTGGTGTAAATGGCTGGGACAAGCTGTGCCACCTCCCCTCAGTGGTACTGCATACAGAGGCACATCCAGACTCCACAGACAAGCGTTGCCAGAACTCTGGGACTGGGTGAAATCCAGCTTTGCATATTGAGCTTGTGGCTCGTCTAGAACTGAGTAATACTTTAAAATTTCCCTGGGGATAAAAACATTGTGGTTCTGCCAAAGCCCTCCTCCCAAACAAAAAATTGAATTTTGAGCTTGATGATTCCCTTTCAAGACTGCAAATTGCAGCTTTATTAATTTCTCTCTTTCCCCTACTTCAACTCCCCCCTTGTTTGGTTGGTTTGTTTGTTTTTTTATTTTTTTTATTCAGCCCGTTGAAAGGCTAAAAGTGAAGGTCTATACTTGCACCACTTAAATTCCAGTGGCCCTAAACATAGATTTGGCTGTTCATGGTGCTGTATGGAGAGAGTTGCAGCCAGTTAGCAGAGGAGCTGACTATCCAGCCTGGATATTTGTTGCTAAGTTCATGGAGATGGACAAGACAACAGAGTCACTAATGAAGCTGTGGGTCACTTTTGAGGGCTCTGTTGGGTCTCCATGGGGACATGGACAATGGTTGTGCTGGCACGGGAGAGAATCAACAGAAGAAGGACA